CTGGTGCCTCCCCCAGCTCCCTTGTTGCGGGCAGAGGGGCAGCGGCTCCCAGCCCGGCTTGCTGGGACTGTGTGTACAGGGCGGTTGTGTCCTCCTGGGAGAGGCAGCAGGATATTGTCCCCTGGAGGACCTCCGGAGCCTTTCCAGCAGTCACCTGCATGTCCGTCTGTGACCACCCTTTGAGGGCCGTAACTGGTGTACCTGTACCTGATGTACGGGCAGGCTGAGGGCAAATACTGTAACTTCAAAGAGTTGTCTGCATCTGGGGCTTCCTAATCCCAAATGCACGTGAGCTTTTTCCACACCCCCCCCCCCCCCCCCCCCCGATATCTATTTTCCTGACCAACAGGATGGTGAAGCATGCACAAGCTAGAAGAAACAGAAATTCTCACCATTGGGGAGTTTACCTGACATCGGTAAAGGAATCAAGTTAGATGATCTGGTCTCTTCTAGCTCTTCTTTTCTAGGATTAATTTATTTATATCTATTTAATTTTCAAGTTTCACTCTCGAATCTTATGGGAAGAGATACGGCATGCCATTAAAGCCCTCTCCATTGCCAAGACCTTAAACAGGGCCTCTATCTCCCTTGTTAGGGGACTTCAAGGCAGAATGTACTTTTATGCCATTAACAGCATAGCACAAGGATCACGCATCTTCCTTCCTGTGGTATTGAATGACAAGCAGTCTGGCAAACAAGCTCTCTATAAGGATGAATTTCATCTCCCAGCAAGCAAGTTGTGAACTCGAACAAAATCCAGACAGCTCTCTTCACACGTTACAGAGGTGCCCCTCAACCCTCTTCCTCAAAAGCACCATATAAACCTTTGGCCAATGCTGCTCTTAGCTTTCTAAGTTCTAAACCGATGAGAGAAAAAAGGAAGAAAACCAATGAAAGAAAGAACACAACTTTAAAAATACGAACATATTACTTCACAAAGTACTTCCAAGGAGAGGTACCTTAGCACACAGCTGTAATCAGTATGGCAAAGCTTCTGCTTTTTGAGGTCATTGTCATTGATGTTTTAACTGTTTAAGACAGAGTATTAAACACAGGTGTCAGTTCTAAGAATGATGTTCTCATGCTGCAGAAGCTCGATTCTACGTATCTTGCCCAGACACAAAGCTATCAGGGACTTTCCTTGAATAGGGAGCCTAAGTCTACAGAACAAACCCTGAAGGCAGCAAAAGGAAAAACAAAACAAATACAAACAACCAGAACCTCTGCACTCAGTAACAGACCTTCTACTTTGACCACATACCAGATTTAGAAATTTCCCAATAACAAAAATAAGTTAACTGTAGAATTCAACTAATAAATCCAGTGCTTCAATATTGGCCAGATAATGCAAGGAATAGCACTTGTAGTCATGTCATATTCCTTCACTGTAGACTCGCTGCTATACTAAGTTGCATTTGTCACCCAAGTCTATGAGGATAAAAATTCCAAAGTCTACCTGGAGACATATATGCAACACCATGTACACCACCACAGTTTGGTTAAAGTCCTACAACAGTTAAACAGTCTATAAATAAAATACGGTAGCTTTTAAAATATTCACATACTTTTGGGGTGATCTACTATCAACTTCAGCTTTTAGTCGCAAATTCTCTCTTAAAAGGCTATTGTTTTCCATGCTCAGTTTCTTATTTGCCTAAGGAAAAGAAAAGGAAAAAAAATAAGTATACAGTAAAACAGAAATTACTTCTAATATTTATAGGACAAGCTGTTTCTCCTTTTTAAAGAGACAGAACTAGCAACGTGAAGGCAGGAACAGCCTTCAGACAGGGACACCACTTAAAAAATCACCATGGGAAATGGCTTGCAAAACTGAATAGCGAACATTTTTTATTCATATTCCCAAAATACATCGCAAGTGTCCTATCTAGGGAAATAAACACAGCTATGTTAGTTAGTACAGAAAGTCATTAAGGAGATGTACTAATGGCAATTCCATGTTTTTTTTTTTCCACATGACTAAATACGTTAAGTACATTAACATTACAATGTGCAGGTATCAGCAAAACTGGTGTTGAACAGCTTCCCCCATTCCATATTAGAGTAAGATTACTTTGGTTTTTTTGGCTTGTTGTTTTTAAAGCATAGTTATCCTATGGATGTAAATCCATTACAACAAGCTATTTGCAGTCTTCACGTTCTTCCAGGACGTTGTGATTAAGACTCCTGATTCACAACCCTTCTTACTCCTTGAATTGAGGTCAATTCCTTCTTCTCAGTTCAGCAGACACCCTTGTTAACAAGATACTTCATATAAAGAGAAGTTTTCCTGCTGCCGTGTTTCAGAACAATGAATGCCACCATCCTAACAAGTAGAAAATAGTCTTTGCACTTCATAGTCTGCTCAATCTCCGTATGCTGAAAACAGCACCCCCAGTCCAGGACTCGTAATTCATAGCCTCAATTAGATGACGCTTCCACTGCATAATAAAAGTATGATCTAGAGTTAGATCCAAAGAAGGAGCTATGCAACTGGGCTTAGGAGTGAAACGTACTTTTTCATAATCAAACAGTGCAAGAAGAGAAGCAGAAAATTCTAAATACTTATACAAATATCCCCGGCAACCTCTCCAGGTGAGGCTAAGACAGTTGGGGGTAGGGGGAATGAAGCAGAAAAAAAATAAACACCCCCCTCACTATCCCCCCCAAACACCACAATATTCCTAGGGGCAGAAGGAGTAGAGACTTCTGGTAAAGAAGGAATAGGAAGGGTGAGCCCAGGCTTGGGTGCCTGAGTGTCAACTATTTGGTATTTAAAAAATAAAAGCACAAAAAACTATCCTGAAAGCAATGAGTAAGAATCCAGGACACCTCACTTCCAAAGGAGCATCAAATCATTTGACAACAAGTCCAAGACCTTTCTCTCTTTCCAGAGACACAGTTCCCCCAGCCACACAATCAAATAGGAAATTGCATGACTTGCATAGAGTTGGTAGGTAGGGCATCCACCTGGCACATGGCAAGGCAGGACTGAACCTCTTTGGTGTCCTTCTTCCAGAGAGTGCTCTACCCTCCAAGCCAGTAATCTGCAAGGGATCCCCACTTGCAGCACAACGTCTAGATTAATGAGTTCATGTAACTGCATTATTAATGAGTGTACTTTGTCTAGTATTTCTACTACTGGGTTTGTATCACCACTTCCATACTCGTTATGACTCCACTCAAAGTCATAATGCCTACTTTGGGAGTCTCTGCTCTAGGACATTAAATGATAAAGGTGTTTCCTATTTTCTGACAGTCTGGTTTTAAAAAGAAAGTGATGGCAACCACATTTTCTGAGGGATGCTGTCTCACTGGGAAGCGATGGGTGGTTGAAGCTCCTGGGTCAGGTACTTTAGGGGATAAGGTTTCTGGTATACATGGGAAAGGTCTTGCTGTTCAGACTGAACAGGTCTTGCTGTTCAGACTGTGGTTGGTCAGTGCATGCTCAGAAGTGAAACAAGGTCTAAAAGAAGAGCCAAGTGATTTTAGGTACTCCTGGAATTGAGCAGCTGTTGAACAGGGAACAGATGGGAAGAGAGTGCCTGGATCACCGTTTAAGACTTGGTCCCTAAACCCCATCTAAACCTCTATTTGTACCTAACCCTTAACCAAATTCAGAGACTCCATAAACTTAAAACTTTTTTCTTGCTAAGGCTGAAGTTATACTGAAAAAAACCCAAACACACCTCTCCCTCAGTCCCTGCTCTATTCTTTTTACTTTCCTAGGGGAAAAGTTAAAAACCTTAGTCACCACAAAAAAAAGAGGCAGTACAGTTTAACTTTATGGGGAAAAAAAACCACCAAACAAAAAAATAGGCAGACAAGAACTCCTTGCTGCGAATCCCCTTTTGCCAACTACAAGTGACTCTGAAGCTCCTGGGATCCTCTTAAGAGGGCAGAAGATGTGTCCCAGCCTGTAAAGTTGAAGTCTGAGTCTAGCCAAGTTATTGAAAAAGCTAATTTTGGAAACTCAGTTTATTCCTTATCACACAGTCCAATCAGGGCCACAATTTGCTTTGGACCACACAGAGGCAAATCTAGTAGTGTCCCATTAACAATAACAGAATGGCAGAACAGTGTAACGTGGGCCTCTGAGTCTGTAGCACAGGAAAAGTGTAAACACTATTAATGCTTACAAAGGAAAAAAGTCCTAAACACCTAACACTTCAGTTTTGCAGGAGGCAATGCAGGATTGTTAACAGAAGAAATAAAGGCAGCATTTTGAATAAATGCAAGTCCAGTTCTTTCCACCTTGCCTTTCAAATTAATCTTGAAATGTCACTCTTCTTGAATGTTTGAGGTGATGCGTCTTGTGCCCGCAGCTAGATTTTGCAAGGTATTTTTATTTAGATGTATTTTCACATGACTATCTCCTGCACCCCTCCTTCTGCAGTATCAGGTTTTCTTTTATATTACATTCCAGATGTATAAAAAAGCCGCAGATTTTCAGTAAAGGATCTTCTGGTCATAAATGCTAAAGCTTGTCTATTTTCGGTCAAAGGGTCAAGTTACTCTGTCTCAGCAAATTGGACCAAAAATATCGGCTAGCAGGGAGGGCAATAGTGCAAAATCTGCCTCAGCCAACTGTACTGTGTTTGGCGACTGAATGTTGTAAAATAGATATATTATATAGATTATTGCAAGCCTGAAAAATCTGGTCATCAATACTGGTGACAAGTGCTACTATAATCCAATTACCCAGTCATACAGTGACAGAGGAGTTGAAGAAGAGTCACATACAAGACTCCCTAGAACAAGCAATAACACCTGACGCTTGCAAAGGCTATATGGAAATACTATGATACACCGACAGCCACTGGAATTCAATTTTTTCCTCTTTCTTCTGGATCTATGAAGTACCCAGAGGTCATGCTAGCTCTCACTCCCGTTTAACTAACACGAAACAGTTACACTACAAGATAGCTGAAGAAATGTATTTATTACCTCCTTTAACTTTTCTACATTATCCATCACTTTTTCATATATATCATTGGCAGCTTTCAGCTTTTTGCTCCATTCCTCTGGGGTTTCTGGGCCACTGGTACTTGCTTCATCTGCTGACTGGCTAGTTTCCTCATTTTGGCAAGACAAAGCTGATGCTGCAGGATCCAGAAGAGATTTCAGCTGTGTCTGTAAACTGAGATTTTTACCTCTCAGATCTTCCACTTCTTTTTGCAGGGATTCTATTTCATCCTAAAGGTATCAGAAATTCATAGGAATGAAAATAATGCGTGAGATTAATTAAATAATACTGGCAACTTCCCACAGCACTTTAGAAACATGGGTTCTCTGGCAAGCTCGGATGCATGCCTTCACTTACACATATATCTAAGTATGCTTATGTTTTGTGCTCTAGGCAGGATTTTAATCAACCTGCACACTCAAGCATAGTGAAGGTTTTATGTAGTCAGGGGATTCCCTTCACTAAAGGACCTTGAACAAACTGGCGGGCAGACCAAAAGCTTCAAAGCATGCAGCAACATGAATCTATTATTAGGGCACTCTGTGGGAGGATTTCCCGTATCAAGAGTGTTCTTAAGGTCGTCCTCTGCTGACTCATTTGCTGTTATTTGAGAATGTTTCTCTCGTATCATTTGGAAACATCACGTTTGGATGCTGAAAGTCTCAAGATTCAAAATGGACAGAACACTGCCTGGAAGAGGCTGCTCCAGCTACGCAAAAGTAGCAACATCTTAGGAAAGACTCTCAAAATGCAAAGAACAAAGCTCTTAGCTGTATCGGTCTGAAGCTACAGAGAAGCAAAAACCTTCAAAAGCCTGTTGTTAGAAGGATAAAAGAAATAATCTATCCTGAAAACATGTCTTCTACACTGTTCACCAACTTAAATACTTGAGTTGCTCAAGATCAGATTACTAAAGGAGGTCATATATAGCACTTACATAAATCCAAGGTGTATTTGCATGAATAACCAAGCTTCCCCCCGCCCCAGCATGAGAACAACCATTTTAAATTTAAGGTTTTTTTTGAAGAGGTTTATGTTATCCTATGCCTATCTCTGTGATTTTGGAGCTGATTCAATAGAAAGGCAGGAAACCTTCTTTTCCTGACTCCTCCTTTCATAGACGATGAAAGAAGCTGAGCTACAGGCAAGCTTGTCATAAAAGACAGCCCCTACTTCCCCAATGTTAAGGATATATACAGTGTCCATTTCCTTTCTCTCATTCTCCTCCCTGAGACAGGTTTCCTTGCAAAATACGCTATGTCTTCACACTACTGCTACTAAGGAAACAACAGCTGAGAAAACAAACTAAGCATATTCCTTATTAATACCTTTTCACCTTGTTCCTAAAAGTATTTTTCCAGCGGGAGAGTGGAGATAAACTTCCAAGCACTCACTCACTTTCAGAAAACAATAGATCAACGAAGAAAAAAAATTAACCTATGCCATAAGGTTGCAGAAGGCAATATTCTTTAAGAAGAAATTTAGTCTCCCTGAGCAACAGGGAATTACTTCAGGAAATGTTTGTATCAAAGACAAAACAAAAAGCCCCCAACACCTAATATGCATAAAGAAAACCCTCCCATACCACCTGGGGGTGGAATTCCTACACAACTATGGAATTGGCTGTACTTGGCTACTTGTAACATAGAAAGAACATAACCATGAGTTCAGCGGGATCACTTCAAGCACCAGCAAATGCTCTCTTGTAACCTTGGCCAGAAGGTGGGATTTTAATGCAGCTGAGTTTCATGTAGATTCAGTATGAACCTTTACTCAAATTAAAAACAACGGGACTCAAAGCAAAAGGACCAGTTGTATGCAGTAATTTAACAGTTGCAGTTCATCTGGAAAGTCACAACACTCCCCACGTCCTTACCTCGTATTCTTTGTGGAGCAATTCAAGCCTTGTTTTACGTAGGTGTTTTCTGACTGTCGGACTAAATATAGGATCACTTTCACTCGCTCCTCCTAAAGCAGCACAGGATGAAAGAAACACTGATATTGTTTTATTTTCAGTCAATTCAATACTAGTAATCCACCTTATAGTGTTTTTCGTATTATCAACTACAAATACAGCTAATATTGGACCAGTCTACTACCACGTGAGATTTAAAGTCCTTTCATTTTCAGAATGGATTAAACAGGATTATCTATTAGTGATGTTTAGAAGTCAAAATCCTGCCTCACAGCAGGAAGACAACTTTTGAATTTTTCAACTTTGTATTTTCCTTGACAGAATCCTATCTTATTTAAGACCATACTATTAAAACAGAGCCAAGGGTGGGGCAGGGGGGGAAATCAAGCATAGTACAAGATAGTGTAAGTTTCTAAAGTGAGGTTGTTCAGGTATATTTTTCTCTCAGAATCAAATAGCAGAGCTGACATTTTATGTCAAATAAAGATCGCAGTATTTCCTAGCTCTGGGGAAGTTCAGATCTTCATTCAAGTGTTGTAACTTTGACTTATTTCTGTGCCAAGAGACATTTTCTTAAAAATAAAGCAAAAGGAAGGAAATGGTGAACAAAACAAGCAAAAAAAAAAAAGACCACAGACTCATTCAAGATTCTGGATTTAAGTACACTATTTCTCAGCTAAATGCTATTCTCTCTTAGGTCAACAGGTTGCAACGCATAGGTAGAGTACTTCAAGTGAGATGCGTTCTTTCCAGTTAAAGGCACCATCCAACCAAGATTTAAAAAAACAATCATTAGAGCCACGGGGTGCTTGCTGCCTTTGACTAATCTAGCCATTAATACACACATCATCTTCAGAATTTTTACCTTGTAGGTATTATGTACGCTTTCGGAAAGAGTTAAAGTCAGATCTTCCTTAGACGCTGGTAAAAAAAAAAAAGCACAGAGGAAAAAATATCCAGACATCTTTGGACTGAAAAGAATCTCCTCCAGCAGTAAACACCAGAAAGTTATTTCAAAGCCTAAATTTGTCCTTACCTATAATTTCCTTGCAAGGATTTTCAGGCGTGATGGGAATCCTGCAAGCTGGACACTGATTATTGTTCTTCAGCCACACTTCAATACAAATGGAACAGAAGACATGATTGTTGACACAGATGACTGGGTGACGGACCTTTTAGTATTAAGGGGAGGGGGGAGGAGAAAAGAAAACAAGCAGAAAGACACTATGAATACTTTAAAACTCTTTTAGGTAACAGAATATGAAAATACACTACTCCATCTCTCAGTGCAAGTCTGGTCTTGCAGGAAAGAGACACTGCTGTTTCGCAGGACTGACCTCCTGACTCACAACACCAAACTTCCCTACTATTTAAGGCACCAAAGCTATAACCATTTTTGCAAAACTAAGGTCCTTGATTCCAAGAGCTCATTAATACACAGTGTGGCAGGCACCATTCCTTCACCCCACAACCTCCAAGAACTGCAGCCAATCACTCCAGTGAAATGCATTAGCCTCCCTAGGTAGGAGGAGGCCAAAAGACACACATTAACTGATTTCCAAAAGGAGGGAATGAGGGATTGCTCCTGGCAACAACCAACACTTTGCCTTGGAAGAGGTGTCACTGAAATGATAGTGTTACAGATTAACTCTAGCCTGCACATAATCAGCTTCATGGAAATCAGCCTTAAAAAGGATAAGGGCCAAACCTACAGAGCAGAAACATGAACCAGCAATCACTAATTCAAGCCTCCTGCTAGATATGCATTGCTACTAAATAAGTCATTACCCAACAATGGGGCAGCTAACTGAAGGATTAAATATTCCAATCAGACACAGATCCTTTCAAGAAGCTTTCCCTCCCCTTCCAAAACAGCAGGGTAGACAAACTTTTAGAAAATATTAATGACAATGCATTATTCTCTTGTCATTTAACTATAAACCCTGTTTGAAAGTAAGTGTGCATAGAGGGACCAAATATGATACGGAAGAAAGAGACTTCCCCCTACATCTATGCCTTACTGCAGCTTCTGTTACAGCTTACTGTAATACACACTCTTAAATCTCTTAAGACTTAACAGTACTATCTGTGTTAGGGGTCTTAGAAATAATTATTTCTTTTTCCTCCACCACTATCTTTGCCCAAGAAACGTGTTTTGAGACACGGAAGTAGCAGTATCTATTACTTTAGAGTCTACTGTGTTGCACTTAAAACCCAAGCTCAGGAGAACTCCTTCAACTTTAAAATAAGTCCTCATCATCCCCAAGATCTTCCTCTTTCATTCTATTAGTAAAGTAGTCAAACTAAAAAGGAAAAATGAAACATTGGCAGGGAGAACCAAGCACCTGGAAAGGACAGCCAAAAATCAGTTTGGAAAACAGATTAGATGTGTCCTGTAGTAATCACACCCATACAATCAGTGTTGCACAAACTAAAACCCAAGCATTTTATCACTGAAATACACACAGACCTGAATTAAGGCTCAGATCTGTCAACTTCTTCTCCAATTTACTATCTATGCCTCTGTCACATTACCGGATTCACAGTATCTTTAATGCCTCCAATATGACAGTCCTGGGAGCCAAAGGGTTTATCGATACACAAATAGAAACTCAAGTTATTGAAGGTGTGAACAGACTAAGCAATTTCTCCAAGTGTCTGCACACTTTCAGCTCTATTTAAGGAGGCTTTTTTGTGATTAATGCAAGCATTAGCATACCAATGCTTTGGAAATGTTTAAATATTACAATTTCAATTATTTAAAAAAAAAAAAAATCTTGTTATTTACTGTTTTTCTTTACCAGAAAAAGAGCTTTCTCCAGCTTTCCCACCAGCAGCTAGAAGAAAAAAAACCACAACTTTTTCTCTGGCCATACTTTTTCCTCAGAAGCAGCCTGAGAATAGTTATATGTATGGCGATGATAGGATACAGAGCAGAATAACTTAAAATAATCCAAACAGGAAAAGACATTTCAGGAGTGCAGGTCTCCCCCCCGGGGAGCAAGAGACCCTCGGTTACCCCAAACCTGACATGGAAGCGCACTTCTTGCAAGTGAATGATTACTCCGTATCTCTAGCAAAATAGTAAGTCACATTTATTGCTCTCCAGGGTACAGTGCTTCTGATTTACACACTTTTACAAGTTTCATTTCAGGGCTGAGGTTTCTACTTCTGTTGGCTCAGGATCCACACAAAGCAATCCACGGGACAACAGCAGAAGCCGCTATTGAAATGTCACACAATGGCTGGGGGTGCCGCTGCCCTTCACCGAGTCCCTGAGCCACCGACTGTGGCAAGCCCGGGGGGTGGGGAATCGCGACACACTCATTACTAAAAAAGCATTTCATTTGAATTACAGCACAGTTTCAGTTCCTTAATCGACCATAATGTCTAGAAAGACTACAGCTTATTTGGGAAGGCTTGATCAGCTAGGTGATTTTAAGCCATTTCCTAATTTTTCCCCACACATAATGCGATTCCTACGCAGCTCAAAATCAAATCCTGTACACATCTATGTCACTTTGAAGGCACTTCTGGACCTTCAAGCAGCACTAACAGAGGAGCAGGCTTGTGGACAAGCAGGCACACTGATACCAGTGAACGAATCCCCAGGCATCCTAGGGGGTTTCAACACACACAGAACTGCGTGCCTGAGCCCAAGCAAACTGTCAACGCCAAAACCAACAGGAGAGACCTTCAGTCATTCTAGGATGAGTAAACCTAATGGCATGATGCAGATGGCTTCTGATCTGCTCACTAATTATGAATACAGATATGTTAGAAGATAACCCAGACTGCGTTAAAAGAACATTCAGGTAACAAACATGAAATTTATCCAAGCAATTAACTCTTATTATAAATGGTTATTTGCACATCTTGCCAATATACTTTACAACACTGTTCACACTAACAAAATGGGCTAATGTGTGTCCGTCCCCGCCCCAAGATTTCTGCTTCATTAAAAATGAGTGGTTGACATTATCGAAGGAGTTTCTCTTCAATATCTCTTTTTATCCCCTTACCATTATGTACAGTGAATAGTTGCTATTTTGCAGCCAGTCCTTTGCAAATTTTGCAGAGATAGCAAGAGGTACATTCTGATTGTAGGGTGGGCCTTCTATTTGAAGGTGGGCCCTCAATTTGAAGCCTATGCTACAAACCACAGAAGTATTATGTCAACCCTCCATGACACTTTTTGCTCCCCCCTACAAGATATGGCAAAACTGGCAAGATTTTTCCCTTAAACTAAATAACTTTTTCTTTCTCTAACCTTACTCTTCAAAAGAGAAGAGCTTTTTCTGATAAAGTTTTTCAAAGAAGTTCCAAGCTGGAGACAAAGACATTTAAAAAAAAGGAAAGCCAGAGCTGTCAACTTTGGCAAACTTTAAACAGCTTCAGACATCTAAAAAGGAAAGCATTTAAATACCTTTATTACACATATCACCAGTAGAGTCACTTATATAATGTTAATATATTACCTCAGTGCAAGATACCAAGTAAGAAGAGCGTGGAAATCTCTTCCAGTACAAACTCAGGAACATCAATTCCTGACCAACTCCAGAAAAGAAGTGGAAGTATGAAACAGTGGCTTGAAATAACCCAGTGGCTTTATAGCAAAATATGAGTGAATACCTAACAAATCTATCAAGTCTCTCAAATCTAGAAAGTCACTAGGATCAGATTCAAATAGCAAATACACTGCCAGTCTGATTTCACTCTCCTCTTTTTCAAGAATATCCACTTTGCATTACAGGCACAGTAAATTTGTGTTCTCCTCCATTTTCATTAAACAGATAAATAGAAAAGGAGAGGTAACAGGACCACAGCCAGGAAGTCTTGCTCGGCTTCCACAGAAAAGCTAAGAAATGAGTAAGCACGGTTGCTAAAAGCATCACTCTCTGCCAGAGTTAAGAAAAGGGAGATGTCCGACTACTTTCACTACCAGCGCTATGCCTACTTTATACATCAAACGCGCCTATTCTTTTGTTATCACTCCAGCAGAAAAGGTCTCGGAGTAAAGGCCACGTGAGGTAGAAAGAAACCGGACAGTAAATGCCAGAGTACAAACATAAAAGGTTATTTCTTCCCTTGTAATTACTATTGTGCTTTAAGAGGTTTGTTTTGTTTTGGAGAGCAATGAAACAAGAAAAAAAAGAGCAAAGGATTTGAGAAGCAATTAGTGACGGCTATGAAATTAGCTCTGGGGCTTTTAGAGGAGAACAGACTAGCAAGAGCCCTCCGCTTCCCGAGGGAGAAGAGAAAGGGACTGAGAAAGGGTCAGAAAGAGGAAACAGAAACTTTTTCTCCAGACTGCTGCGGTTTTGCTCAATACTTTTTAAATCCACTTGGTTACACATCCCCTCTTTGTTTCGCTTGTCCTCTACGACACAGCACCACGCTCAAACACACACTCACCTAATATTTTAAAACACTCCAGCTCCTACAGATACCCGAAGAAGAAAAACCCTCAAAACCTTCACCCTGGGAGCCATACGCCCACCTTTCGGCGCGGGGCCGACCGGTGCCTCGGGGACTGGGGCCCCCAGCCCCCTCTAACGGCCCCCGGGAGGCTCCCGCCGCGATGGCGCACGGTTCCCACCATCCCAAGGCCGGCAACAAACCTCGCCCCCAGCCGGGACCGGCCCC